AATATACTATGACTAATTGGAGCAATAAGCATGATTTACCCACTCCTTTAAATATATTATTAGAAAATAAAACAATTAATAAATATTAATGTGAAGGATAAGATATTCACTATAAATAAATAAAATGTAGAAAATCCTTCGATATAACTAAACAACAAATACCATTGACATTTTAAAATAGTTATTGTCGGATAATCTCACAGCATGAAAAATGAAAAATAATAGTGTCACTTACCTGTATCGCCAATAATGATGTATTTGAATAAATATGCGTATGACATTTCTCCAATAATGTATTAAACAAAAACTTTTATTTATTTAAATGTACACAAAAACTTATTCTAAAAGAATAGATAGAACGGTTAGAACAAATTAGTTGACAGAAGAGCAACTAGAAACGTAGAAACGTCATTCATAATTGCGCAGCACTACATACATCTTTCAGCCAATCAGATTTGAGATGTTTGTTGATTAATCAATACTTTTAAACAACTTGCCGCGAAATCTTTCAATATTTACGAGTTATGGTTTTAATAAATTACGAAATTATAACATTGTTTTTCTTCATTTACTACTACTATATAAAAAAAAATAATTATACATTTGTATAAACATGTTCAACAATAATATAGTCTTTAGATATCGTTAAAGGAATACATTTAACAAATATAATTGTTTGCAAAGAAATTTTAGCGAAGAATTCTACAATTTACGTATTAATTTTGGATCGAAGAATGCAATAACTATATATCCAAAATGTCTTGTCAAATTTGATGTGTCTTTATGCCTATAAATTTCAAGTACAAATCAATATAATGAAGTGAACATAAACATAGAAAAACGTAATGCCATCTCCAGTTAGCAGTGTACAGGAACCCTCAACAGCCCCAACAACACATACTCATACCCATTCCGTTGAAACAAAGACCGAAAAAAAACCGACAGTTTTAGAAAGTCATGGGTACTATTTGGGGAAAACAATAGGTTCTGGTTCGTATGCCACAGTGAGGGTAACTATCAATTTGATAAATCAATAATATTGATTACGCCGACTTTAATTAAAACAATAATTGAAATAGTTTGTGTTTGCTTTTATTGATTATAAGGTAGCACACAGCGAACGGCATGAAGGCAATGTTGCAGTAAAAATTGTGAGCAAATTTACAGCTCCGGCAGATTATTTAAAAAAGTTTTTACCACGCGAAATAGAAGTAGTTAAAGGACTGAAACATCCTAATTTAATAAGATTTTTGCAAGCTATTGAGACAACCCACAGGTAGTGATTTCGATTTTTTAATACACTCTAGAACTTTGAAATAATGTATGTATAATGTGAATAAAACTGCTAGGGTCTACATAGTTATGGAATACGCAGAAAATGGCAGTCTTCTGGATATTATCCGGAGAGATTCCCATATTGATGAAATCAGATCTAGAAAGTGGTTTAGACAATTGGTAGAAGCTGTGGAGTATTGCCATGAAAGAGGAGTGGTGCACAGGTACATATTTTATTCACATAAATTATGCGCACTCCGACGATCATTTTATCTTATTGTTGTTTATATTTAAGGGATATAAAATGTGAAAATTTATTAATGGATAACGACTACAATATAAAGCTCTCGGATTTCGGCTTTGCTAGGGGTCATCTTAGGCAAAAAAATAATCAGGTGCAACTCAGCGAAACGTTTTGCGGTAGTTACGCTTACGCTTCGCCAGAAATATTGAAAGGGGTACCTTATAATCCCCAAATGTCTGATGTCTGGTCGATGGGAGTGGTATTGTACGCTATGGTATTTGGGAGGTTGCCCTTTGATGACACAAATTATAACTTGCTACTAAAAGTAAGTTAAGCTATTATGTATGAATATTCTGACTATTCTACAGGTTTTACAAGCTGATATTTCGCAGTTGATGTGAATCGTGATGAAAAAATCTACAGAAACAAAAAAGTTTCTGATTTCTTTGGCAAAAAACGATATTAATTATAGTTGTTTGTTACATATTAATTATAACATTCGTTAACATGAACAAATCGACAATGTGAAAGGTTGTTATTTCCGGTTTGTGAAGAACGACTAAGATTTTTTAAATATTTCAGGGACTATTTCTGTAAAAAGCAGAAGTTGAATGCAGAAAATAAATACACGTTTTACGATTTATATGTATGTTGTTTTAAGTTTTAATTGTATAATGTTTTAACTTATTTTAGCAAGTTTCAAGTAAAGTAACATTTCCAAGGGAGCCAAAAGTATCTTCGAGTGTAAAACAATTGATAGTGAAAGTTTTGGCTCCTCTTAAAGTAAGAGTTAAAATTTGCGGAATAAAAAATGATTCATGGTATAATCATTCATCTGGAGAAAAAGCTAGTACCAGTAAAGAACAAGGAACGGTAAGCAAATATTTTTTTTTTATTTTAATTTTACTCTACCTGTAACAATAGTTTAATTTTTGAGAGTATACATAGCAAAATGTTATATTGAGCGATTAACATACTGAACTGGCCTTTGCAGGATCTCATATTTTTAGGACGAAAAAAATACTTATAAAACACTGAATTTTTGAGTTTCAGAATTCTGTTTGGCTTAAAAAAAATATAAGTAATAATTCCTTTTTTATCTAAAATGGCTATATTATTTACGATGAAAATGTTTCATTTAAACGGTTAATTTTCCTTAATTTGCATTTTTAAGATGCAATAAAAATCAAAATAAAAAATATTTTTTCCAAACTTCTGTTACTTTATGGAACACATTTTTTTTTTATATTTTTCGTCACGTTGAAAACATTTTTTGCATGATTTTCTTAAAAACCAATCAACATAAGTATGCAAATGTTTCAGAATTTTGTATTTCAATGATATGCAACTATATGTACTAAAAACATGAGTGAAATATTGAAATTTTTGTATTTGAGCTGCGACCGAATACGCAAAAACTTAAACAATAGAAAGAGCAGTAACAAAATATCTTTTGCAAGCAAGTTGGAGATTACAAATTACAAGTAAAACTTTATTTAGGTTACGCTGGATATCTGGCACAAAAGATTCGAAGCATCTTTGAACGCATAGCCAACTGCTTATCGATCTAGGGCACTTAAAAGTTACCACACTAAATTTATAAAGATTTGTGCTTAGGACTCAGAAATAAAACAGCCAGGACAAGAGGCGGAATCAACCAACACCGAACTCTCTAAGCCAGCGACTCTGGTAACAAAACAACAGTTGAAAAACGAAGCTAAACATAAAAACGAACACCGACATATCACCGATGACGAAACGCCACTGGCAACTGAAATTCCGGAAAGTCCCGAGAAAGAAGCAGATTACAATTCGAAAAGAAAAAAATACAAAAACTGAATTAATTAAATCGAATGTATACTATTTTACGCTAATCTGAAAAAATAAAGTCAATACTTAAGCGGGCATATTGGTATTTGAAATATATCCAGAATTTCCTTCTAGAACAGCACTTTTTACTTTTTTCTAACTGGATAAATTGCAAACGAGGATAACATTTTAGGTATCAAAATGCGTTTTAAGTTTCTACACTTTTTCAAGTGAAATTTTGAGTGTTGGAGATTTATTTAGTTTAGTTCCACTGATTTCCGTTTGATTTTTTTATATCTACTACTAGGCAGAATATTTTGGTCGAAATCTAGTTATTATGAATACTCATCACGTTGGAATGAGAAAAAAGAAGTAAACGGATAGGCATAATAAAATTGAGAAAACTGATATACACAGTTCGCTTTAATTATACATTTTAAAGACTCATTATAACGAGATTTTCAAGTATGAAATATACTATGACTTTTAGACTTGATACATGACTGCAAACTTTAAAATTATTAAAGAAAAAAATGAGATTTTTGTTTCCTTAGATAATGCATATTATTAATGACAATTCTTCAGTTAAAGTACGGTTGGTTTTTTATCCATAAACAAAAACCTTTTATTTGTACATATTTATTGAGGCGGTGTACATCTCCTTTTTAATTAATGTACATACATAAATATGTATCTGGATATATTTATAATTTACACATAAAAATGTAGTAAAAAAGTGTCTATCGTGTAGGTATATTATTAATTTGACCTAAGAATTTCCTGGTAGTCTCCAGTACAATTATTTATGTGTATGATGTGTGCTTGCGTATTACCTACATACTATTTAATTAATTCACAGCAATAATTATTATTAACTAATTAGTGATACGTACAATGATGGTGATACTATAAAGTGGTACCGCCGTCGCAAAAAGAAAAAATAAACATGTCAGAGCGTACAATACTGTACACTGGAGAATTGAACGTTATTATTTACTATTAGTAGGATCATTATATACTTGTGAGCATTTTTTTTTTTGAAAAACATGAATCAATATAAGTAAAAACTTAATCAGTAGTTGTATGTTGTATGTTAAAAGTATTACTGACCAGTTTTTGATGAGCTTTTAATTTTTGATAGATGAAGCACAGGTAAGTCATCACAAAATCTTAGAAGTGGGTATAATGGATTGCTTTTTCTGAGAGCAAGTGTTATACCTGAAGAATATGCAGCAGGTATTGTAATATGTGAAGTGTTTGTAAAGCCTGGTCTAAATTCCCTTCTACTTTCGCGAACCATATTTGCAACTTGTCCTAAACAAATTCTATATTAAACATAAAAAAATAACGAATTTAAATTGTTTATTTAAATTTTTTATTTAAGTAATAGTAAAAACAACAAATAAAATATTTACATACCTACAACATTAAGGTTCCTCCAACTCTTATGATTTATGGTCATTAGTCTTGGCAGATCAGTTTTTTGATTCCAACGGGCCAATATATCTTCCCTCTTAATTAAAAGAACTGATTCAGAGCAGAGTTGCGGCCAAATCTGAGCAATTTCTATGCACTCTAACGGATTTGTTAAATGAATTCCCTTTGAACTAATACCAAATATCATTTGATGATGCCAAGCATCTGGAATAGTTCCACTATTTTTGTAATTGCTACATTTTTGCAAATTTACTGTAGCAATTGGTACAGTATCGTTTTTCATCCAAAAGCGCAAAAAACACGACAAATCAAAATCTCGTTCAGGATACATATGAAAAAATCTAGAATATATTTCCCCACCAGATGCCTTTGAAAGTCCATTAATTATGTCTTCATGAGTACATCCTGCTACACTTCTGGACAATAAGTATTCCAAAAGAGGACTTGAATTTTCACGTAATCGAGTCTTTACAAAAGTTTGTGCCTTATCAGGAAGAGAAATGGGAAATCTTAAAGCTTTTAAAACGTTCAAAACAGCAGTAGCACCACATGCAGAGACGCCTATTTGAGGTATTTGTTTCTTAGCAGCTTCCTCTTCAGACCATAACATTACTTTTCTTACTTTGGTGCAAGAAGTCAAATCATTTGGGGATGAATTGCATGATTTACTTATATTGAAATTATCATAACAGACATAATTTTCTTTATCAGAAGGTGAATTATATTCAGAACTACATGACATTAAAGAAAATGAGTGTTCTGCTGGTTCTCTTGTAATTGGTTTGCTATTGTATCTGTTTGGTGAATCTAGCCAAGGTAATTTGAGACTCCTTATTTGAGTAATTAATTCAGCATTTTGATGTGATACAGGCCTATCCATAGGTTTAAATTCTAAAGGTAAATTCGAACTTATTGAAGTAACAGAATTATTTAACTGACTAGATGTAGTAATATTAACTTCTTGATTTGCACTAGTTTTTACTTCCTGCTCTTGCAATACATGTCTAAACTCACTTTTAATGTTTTTCAAATCTGATTTTGTTTCGCATTCTCTCAAAACCGTTTTGTTTTCTTGTATGCTTATGTTATATGAACTAGTGCTTGGCAGATTCTCGATATTATCCATATCACCATTTAAACCTGTATCAGAGTCAGCATCTCCTGAAGGGCCAGGGTCAAAATCCATTTCCAAATAATCCATTTCTGGGCTGGTATTATTTTTTTGTCGATTTTGAATTGATATTTCAGGACTTGGCTGTAATGGAATATCTAAACTAAAAAAAGAACTTGGCAAATCTGCCACTTGATCTCCTTTAAAAGTATAGACACATCCATCATCTGATATGGATAATAATTCATTTTCATCATTGGAAGAATCACTTAAATGTAGGTCTTGTCTGTATAAATTGTAATCATTAAAGTTGTCTTTGATTTTTTCATACTGACTAGCTGATGGAATATTAAATGTTTGTAAGTCACCTAAAGTCAGAAACTGAGGTTCCTCATGCTCTGCCTTTTCAGTTTTCCAAAATATTTCACTAGAATAAGAATTCTCCACATCTGAAGAATATGGATTAGGCACTTGATTAGATACACATTCACCAAAACCATTTTGATGAGGCCGTTCTTTTAACTGATGATTACAGGATAAATTTGGTTCATCAGTATTATTGTTAAGTTTGCCAGACTTCTTGGCTGATGACAAAAGTTTAGTTGCTGAAGTATTTTTGGGTATTGCACCCTTACTAGTTGATGCATTAAGATTTGCATTGTTATCAGCAGCTGATAGCTCCTGGTTTTCAGTTGAGGACGTGTTTTCTGGAAGAACTAAATTAACATGTACCTCTTCATTTGCTGAGTTCATATTTCTATTTGTAATGTTCAAAATTATCCATTATATCTGAAGGTTTTCAAAACATTTTAAACACTTGACGTCAATTATAATGTAGTAATGCATATTCTTTCCAATGCTATTATAAAGACCTTTTGTTTTCTTAGTAGAAAATATTCAAAACATTTCAATAATTTCCAATTATTATTAAACTTCAGTTGTTCCTCACGACGTGGATAAACAACCACACGTTTCACCCATGAGCCATGACTAATGATAATTTACCACAATAACACACAAACGCTTTTACCTTCTTTTTTGTCGATTTACGTAACTGGTTTACTTGTAAATACCTAGAAACTCTATTAATTGAAAATTATATTTTTATTAACATATTCTCCTTTGGAAAACATGGAATTATAAACAAATACACTTATTTACCCCGCACTATTGATGACAACCACAAATTAGGCAACCAGATTGACAACTAGCTTAATTAAAATCATATTTAAATGCTCGTATGCTCCTAACCTCAACTCGACACAAGAAAATAATACATTTTGTAAGAGAAATGTCGGCAGAATTAATAGAAATAGACGGTTCTCTCCTTGAAGGGGTAAAGTTAGAACACAAACAAAATAATATACACATTACAAAATGTTTTTCTTGAAAGGGTGGTCAAATTTTAAGAGTTGCTGTTACTTTGAGTGCAATATTGAAGACCCCTATTAGAGTTTTTAATATTCGTGCGGGGCGTAGTAAACCAGGTTTAATGGAACAGCATTTAAAAGGTATGACCGATGAATTTTTTTTAGTGTGCAGATATTAAACAATTAACTGTCTTTGAGGATTGGAACTTGTCCGTGACATTACAAATGCAAGAGTAATTGGGGGTAAAATAGGTTCTACTGAAATTGAATTTTGGCCAGACAGTGTAAAAGGTGGTCAATACAGAGCTGCAGTTAAAACAGCAGGAAGTATAAGCTTGCTACTTCAAGTGGCTTTACCATGTACTTTATTTGCTAACTGTGAAACAACACTTTTTCTACAAGGAGGGACAAATGCAGAAATGGCTCCACAAATTGATTATACCACCGAAGTTTTTCGGCCGATTTTGGAAAAGTTTGGAGCAACATTTGATTTTAAACTCATAAAAAGAGGGTATTTTCCAAAGGGTGGGGGTGAAATAATTGTTAATGTTAAACCAGTTAAACAACTAAGAAGTGTTGAAATGTTGGAACCAGGAAATGTTATTTCTATATATGGCTGGAGTTTTGTAGCAGGCTCTTTACCTATAAAATTAGCTCATATTATGGCAGATAGTGCAACAAGAAGGTTGAAGTCTTTACAAAATAATATTAATATTGAAAGATACAAAGAAAGCCCAGAAGTAGCCAACAGTAATTGTTCTGGTTTGATGTATGTGAATTTTTATTAGTGCTAGGACATTATTTGAGAGTATTAATGTTATTAATGATATACTTTAGAATATAGATTGGCAATTATCTTTCCAGCAATAATACTCATTTTAAAGAACATTATATTTTTTATTTAAGTATTTTCTTTTTCAGTATTATTGCAGAAACAAGTACAGGATGCATTTTAGGAGGTTCAGCTTTAGGAAAAAGAAATGAAACACTTGAACAAACAGGTACGAATGCTGCTGAAGAATTGTTAACAAGCATTCAAGAAGGTGCTTGTGTTGATAAGCATTGTCAAGATCAAATTATAATTTTAATGGCTCTAGCTAAAGGCATATCAAAAATAAGAGTGGGAAAAATTACTCTCCACACAGAAACAGCTATTTTTGTTGCTGAAAAATTAGGCAAAGTATTAAGTTTTCAGTTTTATACTATTTCTGTGGTACAAATATTTTATATTTTCAGGTGAAATTTGAAATAAATCATTTTCAAAATTATTCTGTGATTCAGTGTAATGGACTTGGAGTATCTTCTGCATAAAACGAATATCAAGTGTCTTAGAGGTCTTGCTTAAACAATCTCCCAAATAGAAAGCAATTAGTAAAAATTGTTTATAATTTATATTAATGAATAGTTTTTACTGAATGTCTAGAGGTCAACCAATTATCCCTGAATATTAAATAGACTTACACTACATTGCTCATGCTAACTGTATAGATTAAATGCCTAATAATTATTATTCTATTAAGGTAAATAACATTAGATTGTGATAGGTGTAACTATTGATGCTCATTTAAAATAGACTAAACATATAGAAAACGTAACAAAAAAGCGAGATACATACTCTATGTAATTGCAAAAATAAAGCATTTTTTGGATTATGATTGCATGCTAAATGCAACAGTATTGCTAGTCACGGTATTCTGGCTTGGGTATCATTGCACTTAAACCTCTAATTTCGATGCAAAAGTGAATAGGTAAATTAATGGTGAAATAATAACATTAATGATATATTCCTAATGGATATGAACAAGTTACCTAATGGAAATTAACTAGTTATGTTCTTATTATGTAATTATATTTTATTATTACATATACTAAATTGAAACAGTGTACTTAAAAAGTCAGAGCATAACAAGAAAAATAAAGATGTACTTCATACATTTTGTTTCGGGGATGTCGGAACCAATTCTAAACTAAGTAAGCTATTTAAAATTGCTGGATGCAGTAGGTTTCTAAAACTTGTATTATTTGCATGAGGTTTGTGTATATTATCCATGTATTATCAGCAGATGGCGCCTTAAGAAATGATAAACAATACGCCTCATACTGTACAAATACGATATAGGTTAATTTTTGAATTTATTGTATTTGGTATTCATTTATGTACCTCAATCATTTTGTAAATAATTTTTTTTAAAAATAGGAAGGATATAAAAGTATGGAAGTTGCAACAGAAGCTGTGGAAGGTGACTCTGAGAAAAACCAGTAACATTCACCTTTTATGTTAGCCTTATTGCATTGTTAAATTATTTAAATTTATAGACATGCAGAAGAAAATAATAACGCATATACTACTTCGACAATACACTTTTTATCCAAGGGATTATTGGAACGCTATGAACCTGGTTTAACTAAAACAAAATGTGAACTGGAAGAATTAACGTAAGTGTTGGCACTATATTTATGTTATAAATTCTATTATATATTACTTCAGTACTAAACAAGCTGTGCTTATTGAACAAATTCATAATGAGAATTTAAAATTGTCTTGGTCATTAACCTCGGAAGAACTAATTTCTATGTTTAATTTGATAAGAGACTATCATAGGAAATTAATAGATATTAAAAGAAACATGAGACTTCTACATGAAAGAAGTTCCAAATTAAAGGTATGTGATTTCACTATAAATTCTAGCTAAACTTTAATATTTAAATTTTCTGTTTAGAGACGAGCTCTCCGTTTACAACAACACAAGGAGAAAGAAATTTACTTAAAGAATCAGCAGATTCAACATGAACAAAGCTTAATAGCAGGCTCAAGTAGTAATTCATAAAATATAAATATACATACACATTCTAGTTACAAATCATATTGTGCAGTAATGTTATAAATTATTTTGTTAAATGGGATTAAATAATACATATAAATATTTATTTGAGTATGTGAATTGATTTTTACTTATGTGCACATACCTATAACTGCACAATAGAGGAAATGTACTGTATGAATTGCACTTTCTAATTTCAAATTGAACTTTAAAAAATATGTTGGCATGAAAACGGGAAAAATCATACCTAATCTTGTAAGTATAGGTGGATTGTTTTCCAAGCTACATATACTGTTTGAGTGCAAGTTGCCACCTTCAGATTTATTCGCAAATTTATTGCTTTATTATAAAAAAAATATATTTGCATGTCTACCTAACTTTTCACTTATAATGTATTCAATAAATCATTAAAATTACTGTAGAAATATAATTTAAGCACACTAAAGAGGAAATTGGGGGCTTAATTGCAAACCATTTTAAGAAAAAGGTAGATAATTATCACAAGAGAAACTTGTATAATATGTGTATAAGCGAAGTTACAAAACTTAAAAAGGACGAAATAAAAATGTTGCAACTATTTACCTTGTTAGAAGATTATGTTTTAATGAAGTGAATAATGGAAGCTGTAACTTTTATTAAAAAAAAAAAAAAAACGGTCTTAATACATTAAACAACAACTTGGGGTTTAACAAAGCTTCCATAATCAATAGACAAGTCCTGATTAATGGCTGGTATTCTACCAGTGTTCTGTAAATAATCATTTGTACATTTACTCTGAAAAGATTTTTTTTGACTTACCAGTTTTCGTGCCCTTTCCTCAATTAAACCATATGCAAAATGGTTCAGTATTATACTATGAGGTAAAGCCACTCCTTGAAATCTATATATTGGGTCTCCTGGAATATCCGTCTCTAATTTAATCACATTGGTTACTGTTATCCTTCCAAGATGATTTGTATTTGTTATCATAGGACCTCTTGATATATCCACATGAAGTCCTGCTTTAAAAAGTGGTACTTTTCCATTATTATTTGCAGCTATATCTGGTATTTGTTTGCTTTTGTGAGGGTTATTTTTAAAAATAAGTTGAGCATAGTCTTCAGAAACCTCTAAACATTCTATTTGATGATTCTGTTGGCAAAATTTTATAAATTCTATACTAAGTGTCTTCAATTCATTCTTTTCTGGCTTCCAATCTTTCAGAGATAATTGCACATCATAGACAAAACTTCCAGATCGAACTATGAATAACACTAGTTTTTAATAAAAATTGCTTATTTTATACCTATGCTTACCATTAGGGCTAGGAAAGCTGTGTAAGCACACCTTAACTTGATCTTTAAAAGAATTTACAGCAACGGCTCCTAACAGGAAACTACATGTTCTCCAAAATGCTTTGTTGACTAAAGAAGGTTGAGCCATTTTATAGTGTAACAACTCCAATTTACAAGAATCTACCAATGGACGATGCATATGCCATAAAGTTTCACCATTGACTAGAGCTACAGCTGAGCGATTTACTAACATCTCTCCCAAGTCTAGATATATTTAAATAGATAAAGGTAATAATAATCGTCGATTTATCTTACGTTTAGCACAGTCATAAGGAGTTGAAATGTTTTTGTTCATAATAAGAGTGGTTTCATTTGGGGGTCCTGCATACTGTACTTCAATTTTCTCAATTCGACCTACAGATTCTTTTTGACGTACTTTTTCTAGCCGGAATAAATTTGACTGTCTCTCTGATTCTTCAGTAAATGTTATGTTTCCTCCAAAAAAAAAAGAAAATTGGAAACGTGAAAAGATGTTCACTAACAGAACCTACTTTTCGTAACTCTTGAATAATTAGTATTTTTCAAAAGCACCAGGAAACGTTTATATATCATCTCTTTAAATTCTAGTTGCTTAATAAATATGATAAAACAGTTTACTTGAATTAATTAAAAAGTGGAGTATACTTCTTTTATTAGTGTTTATAGACTATTGTCAACATTGTCAAGTTAAGGTATGGTTGAGGTTAATCATATTCATCATAGATATGTTCATTATTTCCTATCATAAAAAGTAGATATCAAAATTCATATCTATAATTTATATAAAATCCATAGATAATAAAATGTTTTTATTGTAGTATCCATAGATAAGAAATATATAATATTTACACCATCGACATATACTAAGTATGTATTGTAGATGACTTATACTATAATCTCTTATCTATCTACGGTCTACCATTCCATACACTACATACAGAAGCTTAAATGTAATTTTCGGTTTTATGTATTTTATGAAAGTTTACAATTTTGCAGAGCCACAAGTTGCCACAGTATCAATTGTTAAAATTAAGATACTTTTATCGTACACTTAGACACACGGGTTTTGAAGTATATTATATCTCTTATCTGTGATAGTAACATAGATAATAGGATAGTAAGGTTAAGATCGTTAATATCTAATAGGCAACGCATCTTTGTTTATGCATTGTCATTTCATAATAATAAGTGTCTTGATTTGAAAAGTATTTCAGAAATAGATATAAAATGGCTTTAGCTGAAATTTGTGGTCTACAAGATTTTGATAATCGCAAATTTGGAAATAACCTATTTGATGACATTGGTCAGTATTCGGGTAATTTTTCCCATCACATCAATTTAGCTGCACCCCCGTTTGGAAACGTAAGAAGTATTTTTAATTAATTTTCAGTTATCGCTTAAAATAATACTTTCAGCCAGCTGATTTACATAAGTTTAACAAAGATGAAGCAGGTAGAAAATTAAAAATTAATTTTGATCATGGAACAACAACATTAGGATTTCGTTATGAAGGTGGCGTAATTCTTGCTGTGGATTCTAGGGCTACTGGTGGTGCATTTATTGGGTCACAAACCATGAAAAAAATCGTTGAAATAAATGATTTTCTACTAGGTGGGTTGTGATGATGTATAAAAATAATGTTTCTTAATTTTTGGATTTGTAGGCACCTTGGCAGGTGGGGCTGCTGATTGTGTATACTGGGATAGAGTTTTGTCTAAACAATGTCGAATGTATGAATTGCGCAACAGAGAAAGAATTTCAGTTGCAGCTGCATCAAAACTTATGGCAAATATGGTTTATAATTATAAAGGAATGGGACTTTCTATGGGAATGATGCTTGCTGGATGGGATAAAAGAGTATACAAACTTTATAGTTCACTTATTGTTTTTTAATTGCTTAGTTTGTAGGGCCCTCAACTATATTATGTAGACTCAGAAGGTAGCAGAATACCAGGGAAAGTGTTCAGTGTAGGCTCAGGATCTGTTTATGCTTTTGGTGTTTTGGACTCTGGCTATAGATGGGATTTAAAAGATGAGGAAGCTCAAGAACTAGGAAGACGCTCTATTTTTCATGCCACTCATAGAGATGCATATTCTGGTGGTATAGTACGTGTATATCATATTACACCAAACGGTTGGGTTCACATTGACAATAATGACTGTACAGATATGTATTACAAGTATCAGGAAGAAAAGAAAGCAGAGGAAGGCAAATAGGTTTAATTAAATTTACTATATAAGTTTTGTATTGAATAAATAAAATTTATTGGGTCACAATTCTTCTTATTTAATTCACTTTAATTTACTTGCTTAAAGTAAATACAGTTCCTCTCTTTTGTTTATTGTATAATTTTCAAAAACAAACCCCAGAAAGGGGATATGTGTTAAAATATGAAAACAAGACCTCAATAGCTCTAACCTCACTTTTAAGAAAGTAATGAAAATAGTTCTTTAAATTGCAGTGCATTTCGTGATATATTAGACGACAATGAATTCAAGTAGCAAATGTTTCGTAAACCACTTCAAAACTATTTTATCAGGATTTACAAATCATCTGACCTTTTTTTCACCTCTATAATCACTTCCCATAATTCAAGTTACTCAAAGAGTGACGGTAAACTTTACAACATGGAAGCGCGCCCTTTTCTAACATCAGACTCGGCTTATAAAAAATTACAAGAATATTATAACAGTAATGGTAACCAAATTAACATAAATCAGTTGTTTTCTCAAGATCCAGAAAGATTTAAAAAGTTCAGGTAATTAGCATTTGTGTAATTTAAGTTTTAAACACGACCTTCATTTGTCCTTGCATATTTTCAAATTTGATTTTGTTTTGTTACAATCTATTTAAAAGTTTTATCAATAACAAATTTTTTATTATCTTCAAAATCAGAAGTTAATAAAAATTGTTGATTAATATTAGATAAGCCTACTAAAAAAATCATTTTTTTTTGAAGTTGATTTTTTAGTTAGAATATTATTAAATGTACATAAGTATTTTTTTTTTAGTTTAACTATACCTACCCCCAATGATGGAGACATTCTTATTGACTTCTCAAAAAATCGCGTTGATTCGTCAGTTTTGAGTTTACTTTTTGATTTGGCAAAGTCTCGTAAAGTGGAGGAGGCTAGAAATGCTATGTTTACAGGCCAAAAAATTAATTTCACTGAAAATAGAGCTGTCTTGCATATTGCACTTCGTAATAGAAGTAATTCACCAATACTGGTAGATGGACAAGATGTTATGCCTAATGTTAATGCTGTTTTAAATCACATGAAAGAATTTACCAATTCTGTTTTGAGTGGACAATGGACAGGGTAATTTTTATAGAAGATATTTTCTTCTTGTTATATATTTATATTTGAATTTAAAACTGTGAATGTGAATAACTTACTTATTTTAGATATACTGGTAAGAAAATAACAGATGTGGTTAATATTGGAATTGGAGGCTCTGATTTGGGTCCATTGATGGTAACTGAGGCTTTGAAACCATACAATAAGGGTGTGAATGTTCATTTTGTTTCTAATATTGATGGTACTCATTTGGCTGAAGTATTGAAAAGGATAAACCCTGAAACTGTAATTTTTATTGTTGCTTCAAAAACATTTACAACCCAAGAGACAATAACAAATGCCACCTCTGCAAAGAAATGGTTTTTAGAACAGGCAAAGGATGTATGTATGCCATGTTTTATAATAGGAAGTTGATTAAAAAATTGATTACCTATTATTTCTATCCAGCCTGCTGCTGTGGCAAAACATTTTGTGGCTTTGAGTACAAACACAGCAAAAGTGAAGGAATTTGGTATAGATACAGCTAACATGTTTGAGTTCTGGGATTGGGTTGGAGGTCGATATTCTCTTTGGTCTGCTATTGGATTGAGCATTTCATTGGCAATAGGTTTTGATAACTTTGAGAGGCTGCTTGAAGGAGCTCATCACCTTGATAAACATTTTTGCACTGCTCCTTTAGAAAGAAATGTATGGAGATCGTTTTTTTTTAATTTGGTGGGATTGTTAAATTGAAATTAATATTTTCAGGCACCTGTTATACTTGCTCTTTTGGGAATTTGGTATATTAATTTTTATGGGGCTGAGACACAGGCTTTACTACCATATGATCAATATTTGCACAGATTTGCTGCCTATTTCCAACAAGGAGATATGGAGAGCAATGGAAAATATGTTACAAGAAGTGGACAATTGGTAGGATTTCTGAATTTGCGTGTGGTTTTCTCGTATTTATAAATTAAATATATTTTCTTGTACCTAAAATTAATTACTTACTTACTATTAGGTAAATTATGCAACTGGTCCAATTGTTTGGGGAGAGCCAGGTACCAATGGTCAACATGCATTTTATCAATTAATTCATCAAGGCACGAGGGTTATTCCGTGTGATTTTTTGGCACCCGCACAGACACACAATCCCATCAGTGGTGGAATACACCATCCTATTTTATTGTCAAATTTTCTAGCGCAAACGGAAGCTTTAATGACTGGAAAAAGCCTTGACAAGGCTAAAGCTGAACTTGAAAAACAGAATTTGAAAGGAGAAGAACTTGAGCGAATTTTACCTCATAAAGTTTTCTTGGGGAACAGACCTACAAATAGTATTATAGTCAAGAAAGTTACTCCATTCACACTTGGTGTACTTATAGGTAAGTTCATCTTACCCATATGAAGTCTCCTATCTTCGGAATATCCGAAAAAGGACTGCCCGCGTAGTGTTATTCAAAACATCTTATCAACTTTTTTTGAATTTTCTGTACAAATACATATGCACTTTTCATCTAGTACCACTTATGATCACATAGGTACACGATACTCGCGAAATGCTCGCCTCCAAGAACTCGAACTTTTTACGTAAAATTTTTATGGTGCGCCTTTTTTATTTACACAAGAGTGAGCCATATGTCCAGTCGTTCCGCGCTCTTTTTAATGATTTTTATTTTGATATACGATACAAATCTGTAATATACGCACACTAGGTACTTCTGAAATGGCATGCGTAGATATGCAGACATTATATTAGCAAGATCCTCTCTAACGTAGTTCTTTTATATTTTTGAATGCGAATTCACTGAAAATTGTTTTTTTGTTTTGTTTTAGCTCTATATGAACACAAAATATTCACCCAGGGAGTAATTTGGGATATTAATTCGTTTGATCAATGGGGTGTCGAACTTGGTAAGCAGTTGGCAAAGGCAATTGAACCCGAATTGGCCGATAACAACCCTGTTACATCGCATGATTCTTCCACAAACGGATTAATTAACTTCATTAAAGCTAATCGTTAAGATGATCGTATTTGCTTATTATATATTGTAAAATAGATGAAATACTTAATAGAATGGCCGTGTATTTAAGTTTTCATAAAGGTATATGCAAAATAAAAATATGTATTGTATTAAAATTTTTAGTTTTTGTTACGTACAGTAGATACTCGATAGTGTGAACCGAAAAAAAAACAGGTGTTCAGGTTATCGATTTGTTCACGTTAACGAACGTTATATTCAATATAATAAATGTTTGAGATCCTGAAAAATTATTTCTGTTAATATGTTCCGAGGATATGGAGGATCGAAAACAATAGTTAATAATAGTTTAAACCTTTATTATTGCTTCTTTATGCGATCATAATACATATGTATAGTAATAACGTTAACATATACTCATTAGTTTTTTCACTCAAATAGTTATGTATAATTGTGTTGAATTCAACTTCACGAGAAGCGGGTAAGGAAGGGTGGTGAGGCGGTTTGTCGTCTTTACTCACCCTGTGAAGGTTGTTTTTTTCTACGTTCCTCCAATAAATTATAATGGAGGAAACCACATTTATAAACTATTTATTATTAAGTCATTATATTTATTTTATTAATATGTATTTTAAAATTAATACAAAAAAGTTTTAGCGTGACATAGTGGAGCAGCTATTTCTAAATTAATATGTATATGAAAAGTATATCTTAAGGACATTAGTAAACTCTTTTCAATTCTCCATGTACTCGGAATAGATTGACAGTTATATTTAATACGTAATAATCTCTAATTAAAAAAATAAATAGATTGTAGCCATCGTTTAATTCTTGAATTTGAAACATTGCTACATTACACTTACGTATGAATGTGTACAATAGGACACTATGAACGATTTTTAAGCTAATACGACTGGGGAAGTACCTAATATACTAAGGATTTATACCAATCTCGCAACAGAAACGGGGAAATATCGATTTTTAAGACCTATGGACTAATGGATATTCGTAACTGTAACTATAACCGGAGGTTCAGTTTGTTTACGATATAAGGTGACCTATTTAAATTATGTCTTCTCTAATCACATATTAAGAAATTCTTATTAATTAATTAATTTTTTTGATGTCTGTTGCTTTTGATACTTTGATAGCAAAAGCAGGGATTATGAAAAGGCTTATCCATTATATTTTTAAGATATTGTAAAAAAAATGACCTGATTCAAAGACATATCTATACATCTCGTCATTAATTTTGTCTTGTACAGATGTAAGAAATTCTGTTTAAGAAGTAAAAGTTATAAAAAGGTATTTTCTTGTTGAAGTGATTTTTCCATAATAAAAAAAAGATGTAAAAGGATGACATTTTAAATATATAGTGTTTATATTTCTACTGGTTTCTATAAATGATAGAGGTATGTACATACATACATACATACGTATACGAAGTAAGTAATTTTAAGTAGGACTGTAAGTGGTGGACTGAAAATTGAAATGACGACTTGTCAGGAATGATAGACGATTTCCGAAATTTTTAATATTCATAGATGCAATCGTGCTTTAATTTTGTTGTTTTATATTTTATTCATGCTAACATTTTATCCTGTTTAGTTCCCCATTTGAATAGTTTTTCAGAAAAGAATTTTTGCATTATATTTGCTTTTTACAGTAGAATATATTGAAATTTTTACAGTACCTTTTCTCAAGCTTAAGTATTCCAAAAACAGTTTGTAGCAACGAGACTTGTAGCGTATTGTAACTCAGGATTGCGCCTGTAAAAAAAGTAAACGTTTTTGGTAAAAATAGTTCTCATACCTATTGTTAAGTTTAATTAATATTGTTAAAAGATAGTGTGATTTTTTTTATTTATATGTAAAAGTAAGTTTAAAACAGCTGCAGCGATTTTAAANAGCCAATAGGGGTTATAAGGGTAGAACTGATACTAACGTTTTGCTTGTAGTTGTGAGGCTTTTTCAAGGTAAGCTCTTTAGTTAATTAAAAATTGTTTCCGTTTTGTTAACTAAAGAATCTACCTTGAAAAAATCTCTTAAGCTGAGGCGAAACGTTCTACACTTAAAATAAAAATCTTACAACATATAACTCTTTTGACTCTGACTTTTTTTACAAATATCCAAACCAAGAAGAAAAAATTTACAGTGAAATGATAAATTTTTTATTCAATAGTTATAATCTTATTTATAACAGCGAAGAAACAATGGTTTTAATACGAAACCTTTCCAAGGCTCATCTTTTTTTAATTTTCGGTACTTAATAAATTTTTACGGCATACTAAACAGCATTTTTCGTTTATTTGAAGAATGTTTTGTATTTTACGGGTCTTTTAAAAACAAAAAAGAAATAAGTTGTTAAAGTTGAATAGCAACATACACCCATATTCATTTCAAGTTACAACCGAACAGTATAGGGATAGAGGGGGAAATTGCCCCAGTTTTGAGTCATCAATTCAAAAATATAAAATAATAATTAATTACACCATTCTATATTAAATTAACGTGATCAAATTCAAGTTTTAAATACGTTCAAATATGATTTTCAGATTTTCCGGTGTTGTGAATCATTAGATGACCTGATTGAATCCTACAACTTTTATTAAGGCTTTTTTTCAATTTTTAGCTTGCAAGAATCATATTTGAACGTACTTTTTTTCGTAGAATGCAAATCATCAATAAAACATTAGTGTTTCCATGAAAAAAAAAGTTGGGGAATTCAGGTCTATGCCAGGAGCCCGGACAAGGTATTGAACCATAGCATTACATCAGGTAGTCCCCATTGAATCCCACAGGTCTTTTTTCAATTGGTAGTTTTCACGTCGAGATGTTTTCAATAAAATTGATCAAAAAAGTTTACTCTCTATATTTCTATCAACTCTCTCGTACATACTTTATTGGATACTTCAATATTTCTGATTACGACTTATTTAAACAGTCTAAAATTTCTGAAATATTAGCGAGATTGTACTTTATAAAACCAGCAGTTAAATATGCCTACTAATACCTATTATTTTAATAAATTATTATTATAAAGTGTGACAAATAATGCATATCATAGACTGCTTGGGGTTAACTGACAGACAGTTAAATGTGTGTTTTAGTTGTTAATGAAATCTTAGTAAAACATCAAATGCATCAACCAAAATTTTCACCGCCTTTTTCCATAATTGTGTTCCAAAATTTTCCCGTTTCTCAAATCGTGTAAAACTCCCCTTTTGGGAATATAATTCCCTTTGGCCTCTTCCATTTTGTAAAACATATATATGTACCGTTCCTTGGCGGTTATTCGCAATCTCTCGTTAAGTTCAGCATCCCGTTGTAGTAAAACTTTCAAGTATTTGTGCTCCAATTTGTAAATTTCGGACAATTCAATCGCAACTACGGTCGTGGACACGTCAACGTCGTTAAACACCAGGGATATTTCTCCAAAATGGTCACCGTCTTGCAAATGATAAATCTCTTCCCCCTGAACCGTATATACTGCGACACTTCCGAAAGCGATGAAGAAAATGTAATCAGAAGGTGCGTCGGCCATGATAATAATTTCATTAGGAAGAAACACTTCGGGTTTCAGCTTTGCGACAATATATCCCAAGGACATTTTCGAGATATGTTTTAATAGTGCAACTTTATCTGTTAATATTCTACAACTGTAAAGGAATACTTCATGCTTCAGATGTTCCGATATTGTGGAAAGTATTTCTGTTTCGTCAAAGAAATGCTTTTGATACTTCTGTTCAAAGTAAACCAGTACCCGATAACGAAGCGAAACCGGAAACATTTTATATTTCATGTATTGGTGAAGTTCATGTAGATGCTCTTCGTATTTGCGTTCCGAAATGTTGGAAGATCTATTGAGAATGAGCACAAAGATGATTACGTAAGCGAAATAAATCGCTCCAGAAATGGTTATTATTGAAAACAGAATCTGCTCGATCCGATCGCTGGTAATGTAATTTCCATAGCCGACACTTAAGAAGTGACAGATAGCACAGAGAAGGCTTTCCAGATAACTCCATCCAACACTGGTGCCCGAATCAGGTTGTATGCCAGCTTGCATTAACCAAGCGTCAGTATGAAGTTTACTAAAATAATAGACCACCGTGGGAATCATGTAGGTCAAACATGTAAACCAGTGGGTCAAATAAAATGACGTTAGGGTTAATGAAAATATCTTGTGGGCGTTTGTACCAAGGCCCAGATAATGGGTGATTATTCGAAAGTTCATTTCGAGGGTGGTTTTTAATCGAATACAAAAACCGAAATTGAGGAGTCCCAAAAGTATTACAATACCAAAAGTACGACTGTCTTTTTTCATTATTTTGTACACAATATAATTTGGATGGAAGAATACCACTAGATCAAAGAGAAAATAGGATTTTATATACTTGAGCGCTATTTTTCTCGGCTCTAGAACGATCACTTTTGACTTGGGGTCCATGTATCCTGTTAGGAAGTTCATTAATAAGTTGACGGCGATCATGATGTCAAATGTGGCGAACATGGCTAGCAGGATTTTCTCATTGGCCACCAATTTTAGAAAGAAGGCAGAATAAAAAGGTACTATGAAGAAACACATCAACCATACAACGGCCATCACGGATTTGTAGATAACGTTTAATGTGCTGTACGGGTGGACGATGTACCAGTATTTCGAGCGGATTTGACGTTTCCTTTCTGCCATGATAGAAGCATGACTACGAAACATAAATTTCGTTCTGTGATATCTGTTCGACACCAAAATCAATTTGTGAAAACTGCGCAACAATCTTCTAATTTTTCCCGACTGAGGAGGTAACTTCGGGAGACAGCTTTGCGAATCTTTCGGAAGGCTGCAGTTGTGTGTGGTGTTGTAATTTTTAGCCATTTTCACCATTTTTAAAAATTATTCTTCTTCTTCTTTTGCACGCTCGACTATTTTGTTTATTTTTGTAGTGTTTTTTGTTTCTATAGAAAACTTGATTATTTTGTGGAATTTAATATACGATAATAATAATAATATATTAGGGAACAGAGAGTATTGTGTTGTGTTTGAATCATAATCATCCACTATAAATGCAGGTACACCACGTGGTTATTCACATTCAAATGTATCTAAGATATTTTGTTATAGGTATGTATTTTTCAAATCCTAACTAATATTACGAAATGCGAATATGAGTTTGTTTGTTTGTCTATTACTATTTCACGTCTTAACTGCTCAACCGATCATCATGAAATTTTGTACACACATTGTCAAGGGTACAGAAAAGGACATAGGCTATGTTTTATATAGAAAAAAAAATGTATTAGGAGGGATAGAAAAATTGGTTTTATGGAGGCGTCGATGATCTTTGACACGTTTGTATATTTTGGATAAATGAAAATGTATCAAAATGGTGAAATATCAATCTCCATACAATTACACGCTAGACTAAAATCCTACTTTTTAGAAACAAGATTATTTAAATAAATTAGGCCAAACTACGTGTAATGAAAAGGTTATGTCTTACAACTTGGTAATGAATTTTGCTAGAATTGTTGAATTAGTTTAAAAATTGTTTTAAAGATTGTTTTCTATCATCGTATTACTAAGGAATCTCAGTATTGTTAAAATTTGGAAAGGTTTTTTTCTTCTAGTTAATAGTCTTTCTTCTAGTGAATCAATCGTTTAGAACTTTCTTATTATTTGAAATGTAAAAATAATTTAACAACTGACATAAAAAAACGATCTCATTTTCTAAAATGGTTATAATAATGTGTATTACTTTTCGAATAAATGATACTAATAGCCTATCGTGCCTACCGTACATTAAATAAGAAACAATCGTATGTTTGAACAAAAGTTTACCACAATTTACTTTATCTGTTGACTTAATTTAGTTGGTATACAATTTTATCTTTAAAAATTACTTGTTTGAACATGGAATACATATTTATTATTCGTTTGGGAGAATCTGATCGAAATTACGTACATATATGTACATGACAAATAATTCTTAAAAAATTCTGCATTAAATAGGTACATTGAGTTTTGAGTTGTTTAGCCATATATTGTTGCTTCAAAAACATTTACAACCCAAGAGACAATAACAAATGCCACCTCTGCAAAGAAATGGTTTTTAGAACAGGCAAAGGATGTATGTATGCCATGTTTTATAATAGGAAGTTGATTAAAAAATTGATTACCTATTATTTCTATCCAGCCTGCTGCTGTGGCAAAACATTTTGTGGCTTTGAGTACAAACACAGCAAAAGTGAAGGAATTTGGTATAGATACAGCTAACATGTTTGAGTTCTGGGATTGGGTTGGAGGTCGATATTCTCTTTGGTCTGCTATTGGATTGAGCATTTCATTGGCAATAGGTTTTGATAACTTTGAGAGGCTGCTTGAAGGAGCTCATCACCTTGATAAACATTTTTGCACTGCTCCTTTAGAAAGAAATGTATGGAGATCGTTTTTTTTTAATTTGGTGGGATTGTTAAATTGAAATTAATATTTTCAGGCACCTGTTATACTTGCTCTTTTGGGAATTTGGTATATTAATTTTTATGGGGCTGAGACACAGGCTTTACTACCATATGATCAATATTTGCACAGATTTGCTGCCTATTTCCAACAAGGAGATATGGAGAGCAATGGAAAATATGTTACAAGAAGTGGACAATTGGTAGGATTTCTGAATTTGCGTGTGGTTTTCTCGTATTTATAAATTAAATATATTTTNTGTTCAGCGTGCTGTCAAACCTACACTAGCAAGGAGATCGGGCTGAAACTATAGCTACAAGCTATCCAAGGATGGTACTATAGAATGTCACCTCAAGGTAGGCCTAGTGGCGTCATCTCTTGGTTAGGCCGGAAACTTATCAATCCACCCTCGTACTTTGAATATTTGTAGCGTTAAAGCAATGTATTACTGAATTAATTTTTGAATTAATCTTACTATACTTCGTTTAGTTTCTCTAGCGATGTGACCTTTAGTTTGACCGGCGCAAAGTAGAAAAGAACAGCACTAGACCAGAAAAGAAAGGAAACAACTAGCGACTAAACTCGTAACCGGTGAGGAGCGTACAGCACTGCACGAAAAAATTGACTATTTTATCCACTACAATTGCATTGTTCAAATGTGCTGTTATTGGTACCAATTACTACTGAAAATATCAACGAGATGTTTATTTATATTTGAAGACATATTAAAGGCTTTAACGCTTATTAATAAAAAACCTTTTTTTCTTTAAAAAAATTTACGTTTTCCTTTTAGGGGTCGTTGTTTGAATATTTTTAATATTTTTAGATGAGTTCAAACACTAAATTTCAGTTTGCGATAGATCGTGGGGGTACTTTTACAGATGTGTTCGCAAGATGTCCGGGGGGTAAAATAAAAGTGTTAAAGCTCCTCTCTGTAGACCCGCAACATTATGATGACGCTCCAACAGAGGGAATCCGTCGGATAATTCAAGAGGTAAGTAAAAAAGTTTGTAGGAATGTGAATAATTCATCATTCACGGGAATCGAATCACAAGGATTTTTCCCATTTTTTAACCACGGTATTAAAACAAAAAAAAAATGTTTTTTTGCTATATAACTACAAATTTACGGTTTTTCGGATTTTCCCTCTACTTTTGCCATAAAAAAAATAAAAAAAAATTGCCTTTGGTGTGCTGACGATTTTTGGGTCAACATATTCGTGTGAACAAGTTTTATCTTCTATGAACCTAATAAAGATCAAGCTAAGAAGCCAAATAACAAGTCAAAATTTAGAGTTAAGTCTTAAACTACAAATTATTAGTTATGTACCGACCTTACCAAAATTTTCACCGTTTGCATTGATTTTTAATTTAATTTCAGCTTTGTTTGACATAATACCATATTTTCTAACATAGTAATAATATAAATAATAATGAATGAAGTCGTATTTTACTTAATTACCACTCCTTTATCCGATACAAATTTGAAATAAAATGTAAAAGCCGAGTTAAAAATTCGTGATTTTTTGAAATTCATGAAACAATATTTTTATTACCAATATAAAGTTTGCCTATCCCTAGTTAGGCCAACGGGAGGTACCCTATAGGTTTTGATTCCCTTGCTGGTGTCAAAATATGCGCTATACACGGTCGTATCTTTTGATTGCGTTGACTTTTTTCACAGCTCCAAGGGATTGCAGTCCTGAGTACTTATTTGATATTAATTTCCACTTGATGCCTTCAAGCGTCCATTTGAAAAATTTTATTATGCTTTTTTTTGTGTCAAGATAACACTTCGTTATAATCTCCATTTCATCCCTTAGTTTGGATAATATTAAATAAAGTTCAAGACAATTAAGGGATGGAAGGTTTTTATTTTTAAAGAACTAACACCGACGTTTCGCTTCTATTTGGGAGGCTTTTTCAAGAACCTATCTTGAATTAAGTATATTGATTGCCACAAGCATTTTCCGTAAGTATTTGCTGCTATGGTAAATGTCTAGATGATGGCCCCCACCCCCCTTCGGGTGGGTCGGATCGAAAGAGGAGGTCTCCCCCACCGCTGTACCATAAAAAGTTCGTGGCGGTCTCACCCCCATAAAAAGTACTTTTTTTTTATTAGGTACTTCCTTATTTTTTTTTTTTAGTTTNTTTTCTTTAGCTTTTCGCAATCGACCGACCTAACAGGCAGAGGCAGATTAAGTGTCGAGAGCGCTCTATGCCAGCACCTCATAGGCGCCCCTCTGGCGGGCATATATTTTGCAAAATACTTTTTTTTTATTAGGTACTTCCTTATTTTTTTTTTAGTTTTAAAAACTTCCACGCGCGCCCCTTTTTAATCTTGCGCCCCTAGGCATGTGCCTACTTTGCCTTATGGATAATCCGTCACTGATTCTACTTCTGCTTAAATATTCTTATGCTTTCTCCGACGATTATTCTCATACGCGAATCCATTTTTCTTTGTGAAATGACATTAAAAAGAACTCTACCTCATCATATGATAAAACTGGGGCGAAGGGGGGTGGGATTGCTGTGTTCTAAACAAAATGGTTTTATGTACAATCTTAATCTTTACAACATAATTTTTATTTGTATTTAATGAACGAATGGAAATGTTTTACTGTATGAGATATGCTGTAAGCTGTAATTTGAATGAGAAAATGAGAAAAATATCCACAACATCCTGTTGTTCTTTTTTTTATTATTTAGACAGTGGGTTCCTAAGAAACTGTGTAAACATTCGATTCTATTGAAAACAGCTTGACGTTTTCGATTCGAATGTTAATTCCAGACTCAATTAATATACTCATATACAAATTTGTTACATAAAACAATAATAATAATGAGAAGTGTTCGATGGACTTCGATAAGTGGACCGAATTTGGTCCGAGAAGACGAACTTATGCGTATGGTAGAAATAAGCCAATTGAAAAAACAGATTGAAGTGATATCAACGTTTCTACCGGACGAGATTTTGAAAATGACACCCCTTTCGATGTCAAAAGTGCACGAATTTGTGGGAATACTTTTGGTGGCCGACGTGTCAGGATTTACTCCTTTGACGGAGAAATATACTAAGATCGGGAAACATGGGATTTATAAACTGACAGCTACTCTAAATGCATTCATTGGGGTACTAGTGGAAGTGATTTATTTTTATGGAGGTGATATTCTTAAGTTTTCTGGTGACGCTTTCCTTGCTTTATGGAAACTTGGGCCAGAAGATAATTTATATAAGTATGTATCTAAGACTGAAGTAGGCAATATATCGCCATCTAATGATATTTACGGTTAACACTGGTATTTCAAATGTTCCACAAGTTCTTTGACATTCGACAAAATGAATCTACAACAGTTTGTCAAGTATACTTCGTTTACTTTCTGTAGTGATGTGACCTTCAGTTTCATCGGCGCAAAGTAGAAAAGAACAGCACTAGGCCAGAAAAGGAAGGAGACAACTCTCGGCCAAACTCTTAACCGGTGAGGAGCGTATAATCCGTACAGTACTGCTTGGAAAAATTGACCATTTTATCCACTACAATTTATTTGCTCAAATGTGCCGTTATTAGTACCATTTGCTACTGAAAATATCAACGAGATGCTTATTTATATTTGAAGACATATTAAAGGCTTTAACGCTTGTTTTCGATTCGCAGTACCATTCATGATTGAACAAAACTTTTGGCAGGTACTGTATGAAAAGGTATGTTTAATGAACAAGAGTCGAGAGTATAATGAGCTTTTTTCACCCTACCTACGATTTTGCCAGCGCGCATCCAAGACATTGGAAGGGGCACATTGCTAGAGAAAGTAAATGAAGTATAGATACCTTTGTAAGACCTTGTCACAAACACTTGAAATATTACCGCTAGCAGAAAATATCATTAGATGGCAACATACTGACATGTTTAGTCAGCGATTTATTGAGACTGCCGATGGGGTGCTGATGAGAACAAAACCAAAAGTCTGGTGGTTTCGATAACAAAATTGATCAAGCACTTAAGCTGTACTTACCATTAGTATGCATTTCGAAACGATAGATGTAAATGTAACTGTTGTTTAGAACATTTTGTTTGTAAGCTAATGTGTGAACTCTAATTTCTAAACGAAAAACTTTGAAATTCATCAAATGTCTGTGACACAGTTGTTTTCAGTAGCTCCCAAAGACCCTCAGGGTTCATTGGTGAAATAAACTTTTGTCATCATTATCATCATAACAAGTTGGGGAATTACCGGTCTAATGATAGGTATATTTATATGAAAGTAATCGAATTTTGTAGCGTAATACATGAAGTAATAGTTTGTGCACTCTTTATCCAACAAACACTGGGCTCGTTTGAAACGGAAGTAAATGTACTACTGAGAGTGAAATTGGCTATTGCGTGTGGAAATCTTGTCTTCTCAGTGATAGGAAATGACGCTAGCAAACAGTACGTGGTACTGGGATCCGCGGTAAAGGACGTAAAGGCGGCAGAGCACGCAAGTGTATCTGGAGATGTAATCATTGCTCCTAGTGCATGGGGACATTTACCTGAGGATAATTATCAAATTGTCTACACAGATACAGGATACGTCAAGGTTAATTTGACTATCTAACATACATATATAGGAGTATACTCTCTAAAAATGAATCAGACGATTTTCAGTGAATAATCACTAAACTTCGCAGTTATGATAACTAATCTTCACAGTTATAATCACTAGTGTTCACAGTCATAACCACTTATCTTCACAGTTAAATTAGTGAATATTAACTGAAGTAACTAGTAAATTAAAAATATTAACCAAAATAGTGAATGTCTTAAAATATGAATAAACAAATTTAGAAAAAATTCATAAAATGGGCTTAAAATAGAACCTTGGTTAAACTAAACAGGCTTCTACTTTTTCGTAAACTTAGTTGACATTTTTTAATGCGGGAAAATCCATTTTTTTCAGAAAAAAATTTCTTTTGTTTGGATTTCTAATTAGCTATTATCCTTATGAAGATTCGTTCTCGGATATTTATGAATGAATAGGTTTTACGATTACATTTTACAAAAAATCTTGTGATACACTTGAATATTTGTATGGTAGGTTATTACAGAAACAAATTATTTTATTTGAAGTAGTAATCAATACGATAATCAAAACGCTTGCTTTTGAATCTCTCCATGGGAACAAAAAAAAGTAGAAAATTTAGAAAATGCAACCAACTATTCCAAAACTTGGAATTCGTATAACTGATAAGGAAACATCTATTTTTTTTCATATACATATGCATGCATTAGATATTTCACGATTTAGGGTAGGTTAGAGATGGTTGTTTAGCTTCCCTTACTTTTTTTACTAATAACACATTACATGAAATGGGCTACTCTGCTGCCTATTTTATGTATTCGGAAAGTCATTTCGTTTTTTTTTGTGGAAATGAAAGACAGTTTTCGTATAATAAACAAATACTTTATTAAATTATATATTGACCGTTCTGGTCCAACACCTTTTGCCATCTTTCTGGTAGTAGCATAATTCCACGCTCATAAAATTTTTGGTCTTTGCTGGCAAAAAACTGATCGAGGAGGTTTTTGACCTCCTCATTTGAGGTGAAGGTTTTACCGTCTAAAAAATTTTGGAGTGACCGGAACAAATAATAATCCGATGGTGCCAGGTCTGGAGAATATGGTGGGTGTAGCATTGTATCCCATTCAAGCTGTAAAAGCTTTTGGCGAGTGACCAAACTTGTGTGAGGTCTCGCGTTGTCTTGGTGAAACACTACACCTTTCCTGTTGATTAGTTCTGACCTTTTCTGTTGAAGTGCATCATTCAGTTTGTCCAGCTGATGACAGTAGACTTCCGAATTAATCGTTGTGTTATCCGGTAAAAGCTCAAAAAAAACGATTCCTTTAAAATCCCACCAAACAGACAGCATCACCTTTTTTTGGTGAATATCGGCTTTGGAAATGGTTTGAGCCGGTTCATCTTTTTTGCTCCATGACCTCTTGCGTTTGACGTTGTTGTATACAACCCATTTTTCGTCCCCAGTGATGATGCGCTTCAAAAACGGATCATTTTCGTGACGTTTGAGAAGCGAATCGCAGACGTCAATGCGGCGACTCAGATTTACCTCTGTGAGAACATGGGGAACCCATACATCGAGCTTCGAGGATAATCCCAGGCCTTTCAAGTGGTCATAAACTCTTGAATTTGATAAATTTAACCGCAATGCGGTCTTACGTGTTGTTAATCGCCGGTTCACATCAACTAATGCCTTTATCGCGTCTTTATCAGCTTCAACTGGCCTTCCCGAACGTGGTGCATCTTCAACATCAAAATTGCCGGCTCGAAATTTAGCGAACCAGTTCTGGCACTGGCGTACTGTCAACACACCTTCTCCATACACATCAGTCAATTTCTTTCTGGCTT